CACTTGTTTCGCTCTCTTCAAAACTCCTTGTGTGGTATAACATTCAATTCAGATGAGGCTGTAAATCAGCACCTTGTTCAGTTTTTCGCAAATAAAGACAGGTCCTTCTATGAATGAGGCATTATGAAGCTCATTGAAAGATGGCAAAAGGTTATCGAACAAAACAGGAAATATATCATTGATTGATCTTTGTTCTTTATATAAATAAATGACCTTCGAAAAACATAGACAAAATACGTCATGACTTTTTCGAAGAGACCCAATATCTATCTATCTGTCTCTCTATCTATCTCAGAAGAGCATGCTGGTACAGAATCATCTGGTAACTGAAATTACTGGAGTGGACAAGATCATCCAGAGAGAGTACGCAAAGTGACACGGAAACAGGGCCCAAGATCAAACTCCAGGTTTCATCAAATTGAAGGAATAAGGAGAAAGGGAACCTGAAAAGGACAGGTAGGAGGAAAATAAGAGGAATGCGGTATTATAGAAGCCAAGAGAAAATATTTCAAGGAGACAATGGTCTATAGTGACTAGTACAGTTGGGAGGTCCAAAAAAAATAAAAGATTAAAAATGTCCACTGGATTTATCAACGAAATCTTGTTAGTGACACTGGCAAAACAGTACTATGGGCAAAGTAGTAAGTCACTCCACCTCCCATAAAGCTGTTCCTGATCCTTCACAACCTGCATTGATCTTGCCCGTCTCTGAATGCCTCTGCCACTTGCTAGTTCATGGTATTCACACTGGCACTTAATCACATACGGTCTTTTACTATTATTCCAATACTTCACATATGTTAGTATCTTCTCTTCCCATATTATAAGCTCAGTGAGGCCAAGAACTATGAATATAATTACTTCCTTTTCCTGACAGCAGTGTTACTGAAGGTATGGCCCATGGACCTGTGCCAGTCCATGAACTGTTTTGTTATTAATCCATGATAAGGTAAGTACAGAAATAGAATAAGATTTTATAAACTTTTATAATAATTTGACAGAATAATTTTGTCTATTGAATCAAATAAAAAATTTCACCTTGTATTTTGTATGTTTTAAAATTTTTATTTCTCTAAGAATTTACTTTTATTACATTTTACAAAGGTATTTGTTTATTCATGATAGATTGAAGGCGAAAAAAAGGTCCTTAACTAGAGATATTTTGAGATGTGCTGCCCTAAAATCACCTAGTTCAGGGCTATGGATATAATTATTACCCAATCTTATGGGACTACAAGATATACAAATGTATGAATGAATGAATGAATGAATTTACCTATGACAGGAAAATAACCAGAAATAAAGAAGGGAAGAAAACAACCTTAGAATGTAACCACCATATAGAAAAGATAAGATTGAGAAATAGCAGCTTGTGAAAGCCAATCAAGTGCTCCAGGTTGTACCAGAAACTCGAGGAAGTGTAAATCAAAGGAGAGAAGGTCATTGTGGAAACCAGTTTAAAAAAGCAGTTTATTACAGAGGAAACTGTTTGATTCTACTGCCTTCTGGCATGGAAAAGTTATCTGAGAGAAGGCTGAGTTAGGCCACTGCTGCCCTGCCTCAAAGCTGGCAGGATGGCAGCTATACTGAATTAGGGAAGTCTGTAAGTGGCTCACTGAGGATGAGGCTCTCTGGGAGCAGGCTTCAGTGTAGAAATTATTTGGTTAAAAAAGAAGTTAGCTAAAAATTAGGCCTGAAGAAAGTAGGAATACATTGAGCATCATAATTTTAGAGAATGAGGAACTTCAGATATTTAGGTTGGAGACCCTGGGTTCTCAACCCTAGGCCCACAATCTCTTTATCAAAAGCCTCTGAGATAGCAAGTTAGGCTCTGTGTTGCTACTCACTGGTGTCATGGTGACAAGTGGGGAGGGTCCCCGTGGGCGCTTCAGCAGCTGCTGGGCATGTAGTTGGATGTTGGCTCCTCCATCTGATGCCCTCCGGCCAAGGGGGCCCATTCCATTCAGCAGCTGTAGGGTGGGCGGCTGTAACAGGGACTGCTCCTGTTGGAGTGGAGTGGGAAGGACAGAATGGTGAGGTGGGGGGAAAAGGAGAGAAAACAGCAATACTCTGATCTACTGAAATTAACAGATCCTTTGATTGTGATACAGACTAGAGAAATCTTCCCTCTCACCCAAGATGCTGTGCAAGAGAAATCATCCTTCTTTACAAGGAAACCCTTAAATCCTGGGGAAGGTCCCTCAAAGTCTCTCAGAGGAAGCTCAAACGTTTTTCTTCTGGGGCAAGCCCTCTCCCATATCCAGGTACCTTGTACTCAAGCTGCCCAGTTGGTTGCAGATTTTGCATGGGCAAAAGGTTGTGCATGAAGTTCATGTTAGGGGCCACCTGCAGGAACGGAGCCTGCGGGCTGACTCCAGGAAAACCAGGTAGGAGCTTCTGCAGATCTTCCATAACTTCCGTGCTGATAAGAAACAGGGTGACAGAGAAGCTTGGTTAATTTCTTATTCAAAAGTGCTACGTTCCCAAACTGATGAAACGGATTTAGTTTGGTACATTTTATTTTATTTTTCTCCTAAATGTGCATTTCTCTCTAGGATCCAAAAGCAAGTACATGGCCAGTGTATGGAATCTGGCTGTCTGCTACTTTACTATTTGGGCCTGGGGATCGCTATTCTTCACTGACCACTCATGTGAAACCAACAGCTCTGAGCCTAGAGGAAATACTGGCAGCAGTCCAGTTCAGGTTTGCAAAGCTGGGAGGTGACAGCGAGGTTCTGGAGGACACAGGCCACCCACTAAAACAATGGCTGCCCAAAGTGGCAACTGATTAACCAGGAAGAGAATGCAATTACTCCTGACAGGGCCGATAGGACAGGTAAGTAGTGGATGTGCAGGGCTGTTGTGCTCCAACAGTAGCATTTACAGCATATTTTAAAATAAGAGATCTTCCCACTAGCAGAGAGACACAGCTGACAGTGTTTGGAGACAGACTGTTCCCCTATTGCCTGTCTGAATGTAGGCTGAGAATGAGAAACATAAAGCAAGCAAATCAGCAGGCCTGGGGGGCTTTTTGGTAATCACTCAGAGAAGAGGTATAAGAAAACTAGCTTCTCCCCTAGTTGAACTCTCCAGAGAACTCTTGTCACAACCTTCTCTTCTCTGCGCAGTAAAGGGACTATCCAGACAAGAGGCAAGGATATTTTTAATGTTGAAAGTCTTCAAGTGTAGAACAAAAATGGAGAGCGGGCCTTCGGGACATTCCCCCAGTGTGAGGGCACAAGGAACATACTGAAGGCCTGTTTTGGGAAAACACTGGGAAATGGGCACTTATTCGGTGTGTCTGTGGATTCTTGTTCACTTATTTTAATTTGTAACATACATAAATCACATATCATTTGTCCTCACTTCCTAAATGAGTCTTGCATCATTAGGACATGTAGCAAACAACACTCTAGAAGCTGTGAAACTTGGATGAATTTTAAGGGTACTTTTACATGACTTAGATCAGGAGACCTCAATCTTTGTGGGCAAAGACACTATCATACCCTTCACCAAAGCACTGTAATTAACTAGCATGATGGTGGCTGTTGGCCCACCATCCACCAGGGACAGCTCTGTAATTCTGTAGTCCAATCAAGTCTGATCTACCAGGGACTCTGCACTGGGATACAAACACGTCTTGGCCACTGGATTAGACTTCATCTGGGAAATATAATAAAGTAGGAGAAATTTGCCATAGTAGGAACGCAAAGTCATGTGGGAATTCCTTCCCCTGAGTTAATTAGGACTGTTGGCCAGATACTTACCGTGGGTCAGCCACACCTACTGTGTGCCTCCTCATTGACAAATAGCGGACCAATGCTTCAGGGGAAGGCTCTTCACCCTCATCGCTGTCCAAGTTCACTGTCCCATCCGGCTGAGGTAGAGGGAAATACAATTGAATTAGAAATAAGAAGTAAGGAAAAGAAACAAGGATATGGGAATGAGAGTGGTTTCAGCTGTCAGCTATCAGCGGTTGCTACTTGCCTCCACAATTTGGTTCTCTGGGTTGATAAGCTGCACCTGAGGAACGCTAAGGTTCACAGTGGTCCCAGCCGGCTCCGCCTGGAAAGCAGTACATACAGAGACACACATACCCTAAACATTTGAGGGAAATGATAATGTTTCAAAGTATTCTTCGTTGCTAAAGTCTATGTTTCTACCTCTGAGTCTTTAGTTCCTCTGGCCTTAGAAGCTACAATAAAAAAGCAGTCTTTAGAGACGACAGTCTCTCTCAGTGATTTGCTGTTGCTTAAAAAATGAAAATTGCAACTGTTGTTGTCCATCTTGAGTACTTGAACACCCTTCCATCCTTTCTAAGAAAGGTTCAGATCTTTGCTTGACCTCTGACAAAAGAAGAAATGACAGATGGAGGGGACAGGGGTTGGGGGTACAGGAAACTCTCCTGACTTGAGTGAGCAATGGCTACCCATCTCCCTAACAATGCTACTAACAATGTTGCTGGTTCTGAATCAGGGCACCGCATTTATTGCCCACCTGGATATTGACTGGTGCTTGAAAGGCCATGGCTCGAGGCATACTAGGAGGTGCTCCGACGCGCAGGGTTTTATGTCTCTTATGTCGATCACACAGCAGGCTGTAGATTGCACTATAGTGATCATAGGCATCTGATCTTAATGACTACCAAGAGAGAAGGGAAAAAAGTAAACACCCCTGGTGAAATGACATGTAAATGACCAAACCCTTTCAACAGTAACATCAGAAGACCAAAGCACCTTTTTTCCAAGGCCCAGAGAGGGGCAGAGGAAGAACAGGAGGAAAACAAAAAGACCCAAGTTCCTCATAGTCACCAGATGGGAGGGGGTTTGGGGAGATTGGTGGAAAAGGTGAAAGGATTAAGCAGCACAAATTGGCAGTTACAAAATAGTCACAGGGATGTAAAATATAGCATAAGAAATATAGTCAATAAGATTGTAACAACTATGTATGGTGTGAGATGAATACCAGCTTATTGGAGGCTCACTTCATAAGGTATATACAATAGATGTCTAATCACTACATTGTATACCTGAAACTAACATAATATTGTATGTCACCTGTAATTGAAAACTATAAAAAAATTCTTCAAAAAGACTCAAGTTCCAGGAAAGAGAAAAAATTTAAAAAGCAGGACAGAGGGTGTACAGCTGCATCTCACTTTATTCTCTGTTCCTATAGAGATACCTGTAGTGTCCGCTCTTTGTCCAGTCCCATGTCCTCCATTGCCAAGAGGACATCCTCATTCAGGGGGTCCATCTGTCTTTCTTCCTTTAGTTGTTGGCATTCAGCTATTAACTGTAACACAATGAAAGGCAAGCTATCAAACCCCCAATTAGCCATGTTAAGACGACATATCATACATAATGAATAAGCTGTTCCATGCCCCCTAGCTTGGGATATTTTTGGCCTCAGACAAAGCCTAAGCAACAGAGCCCTGGGTACTCCCTGGGTACTCAGCTGTGAGCAGACAAGACCCCCATTTTCCTGAGCTCCTTGGGGCCTGGGATGGTCATAATGGTTTAAGTAAAGGTATGCTGTAGGAGCCACTGAACTAAGCACTGTTAAGCAAGAGGAAGGAGACATCTCCATGAGCTGCAGAATTGTGGGCTGCACCTCTCTTAAAAGCCAGGAAGGGACTGTGATTTGGGGACAAGTGGTACCACTCTTCTCCAACAACTCAGCTGGTCGAAAATCCCTTTTTTCACTCATTGCTTTAGTATTACATATAGTTAGTTCTCAGTGATGCCTTTTCAGGTCCTGGCTTGATTACAGTCTCATGCAAGAGATTCCTCTAGCTCTGAGAAGAGCTCCCTGAGGCAAGAGGCAGCCCCCTCACCCTGTCAAAGTTGGGATCGGCGTCCCCTAGCTTCATCCACTTGTGCTTGCAGATCTGCTCCATCGAGAGGCGCTTGCTGGGGTCCAAAACCAGCATGTGGCGGATCAAATGCTCACATTCTGCAACAGACAAAAGGGCCTTTAGTCTCCGTGAGTCAGGCATCAGTGGGGCTGCCTCTGGTGAGAAGGTGAGCGAGGAGACTTTCAAGCTCCTTGCTTCTAATTTGTCTCTCTTGCTCCTTGATCCTTACCTATGTCACTGCTTACTCCACAAGGGACTGGGCAAAGGCAAAAGAGGTGGTGAAAGAGAAATTCAAATCTGGTAGTCTGGTTAATACCTTTACTAAAAGTCTGATTACAGAAAGTCTGGGGATAATGCATGGATTTCACTTATTTATATTATGTACGGCCCCACTCCACACAATTATGAAGAGTTGAATGTCCTCAAAAGAGACGCAGTGTCTTATTAATAAGGTCCTCAAAATAGTGAGTTCTTTCTTCCTATATGTTTTACTATGTGCAAACTAACGCTTTGGCTTAGGTGACCAAAAGCTCTCTTCAACACAGGGCACTGGGGGCCGGCCAAGTGGCTCAGTTGGTTAAGAGTTAGCGTAAGAGTACAAGCTCTGAGCAACAGTGCCGCTGGTTCGATTCCTACATGGTCCATTGACGCTGCACCCAAGCTGAGCTGCCAACAGGTGGCAGGATGGCTCAGCTGGTGAGAGCACGTGCTCCTAACAACAAGACTGCCTGTTCAATGGTGGGCTATGCCCGCCCACAACTAAGACGGAACTCGGCACCTTGAGCTGAGCTGTCACCCGGATGGCTCAGTGGATAGAGTGTGTGCTCAACAACAAGGCTGCTGGTTCGACTCCCGCATGGGATGGTGGCTATCCCCACCCACAACTAAGATTGTAACACAGCACCTTGAGCTTAGAGGCCACGAACTGCCGCCGGGCAGCCAGATGGTGACTGGCGCCCTCCACAACTAAGATTGAAGAACAACAACTTGGCTGGTCCCCCTCCCCAATTCCCCAATTAAAAGAAAACAAAACAAAACCAAAAACTTAGGGCATTAAAATTTCTAATGCTTCGAGGTGGGGGGAGAGAGGCACAGGCACAGGAGGCCTCCCAACAACACACTGGGACTGTCTGCTAGCCTTATTTATCATTTTCTCAATGTTTAAACATTCATACAATGGACTCTGAGCAACGGATTCAGATAAACAGATATTTCTCTCTGAGAGCTCATACTACATAATATATTGCAAAGAGAATGACGGATTCAAAATCAAGAAGCCTATATTTTGATTTCATAACCACCCTTTATTTCTAAGCTTTCTCATCTGTAAATTGAGGATATTGGGGATGATGTGGTAGTAGTGCTTGTGATAAAGATGGTGGTGATGATAAAAATAGCAGTATTAACACTATCCTGAGCACTTTAGTTATTATCGCATTTAATCCTCACAGTGATCCTAGGAAGAAGGTATTATCATCACTCCTATTTCAGAGATGGAAAAAACGAGGCACAGAGGAGTTAAAAATCTTGTCCAAGGTCACATGGTAAGTCAGATTTCACACCAGACAGTCTTGCTCTTTGGCTGGTGCTCTTACCCACATGCTATATTGCCTCTGTACTGCACAGAGCTGTGGACAGGATCCAAACTCCTGAGCCATTCATTTAACATCTTCACCCAAGACACCATCATTTCTCCCTTAGACTATTGCAAAAGTCTCCGAACCAGTCTTCCTGCTTCCTCCAGTCTTGCTCCTTTATAGTCTGTTCTTCACAGAGAAGCAAAGGGGCTTTCTAAAACATAAATCTGCGCATATTACTACCTTGCCTTCAACTCTGCAATCTCTTCCCATAGCCCTCAGAATAAACTCCAAATTCCTGGGTCTACAGTCCCGAGCCTCTGTCTCCGACCTCATCCCCTGCCACTCTCCCCGTGGCTCACTGAGCTCCAGCTGCAATGGCGTTCTTCCTAGCCTGTGCACATGCTTAGCACACTCTGGTCGACTGACCAACAAACCTTTACACGTGCTGTTTCCTTCAGTTGCAATGGCAGCTCCTCCGACCTTCACATGGCTGGCTCCTTGTCATTTAAGTAAGAGCTTAAATGTCACTTCCTCAGAAAGCGCCTCCCTGGCCACCTAAAGTAGGCCTCCAGTCACTCTCTATTACATTACACTAATTTTCTTCACACTTACGGCTTCTTTGTGAAACAAGCTTATTTATTTACTTACTTGTTTAATGTCTAACTTCCCCGTCACAATGTAAGGTCCATGTCTTTCTTACCACTGTTTCCAGTACCAAACCTCCAATCCCCCAAAGATGGTTATCACACCTAATAGGAGCTGAATAAAAAGCTACTGAATAGATGAACAAATAAATATTTATTGAATATTTAATCAAATGAGATTGAATTTGTGAAAAACGCTTTTTAAAATTCTAAAACTCTGTAAGATATGGGTTTAAAAATTTTATTTATTTTATTATAGCTGTCTTGAAAACAAAACTGGCCAGTAACAATAATAAATCATTGCTAATTTCAAAAGACTTCATATATAAGGCACTGTGATTATCAACTTTATTTCATTTAATCTTCACAACCTTAAATTCTAATTTTATTAGAATGCTATTATTAGCATCATTTATAGAAGAAGAAACGAGTTAACGAACTCAACATTGCAAAGTAATGTTGAGCTGGGACTTGACAGCTATGCTCTTGACTACCCTGTTATAGATCTTCATTCACATAGATAGAAATTCAGTTTGCTCTGTTTTTCCAGAGTGACTTCAACCCTGCAATCCCACAATTTCTACATCATTTGGCAAACACCATCTATATTACCATCTGGAAAGGAACACTAAGGGTAATTAAGGAAAATTACTCTTAATTTTAAATTTACTCTACCTTTAAAAGAAAATACAATAAAGCGAAGTCCCTATACTTAGAGGGCATTAATTTGTTCTTGCTTTGTGATTAAAAGTATATTCAAATACAGTGTAGATCCTAAAGCCTGAAGTTCCTACATCTCTAAAAAATAGAGTAAATGCTATCTATAACATTAAGCTTTTATTATATGTTTCCAGAGTAGCAAGAATAGACCCCACGATTATAGCATCTGTATAGGTTATAAATATCATTGACGTGCACCTTTATGATCTGCAATTACTTGAGGAAAAAAAATGTTTTTAATTTAGAAAGTTGCTAAAGCTGAAGACCCCTGTGTAGGGAGAAGGCCTGGGCCTGATTCTAAAGCTCTGAAATTGTTGTTAAGACCTCTAGATGGCACTCTTCTGTTTTCTTTTGGTTTCCATACAGCATTTACTGCATAAAAGGTAACCACATTTAGTCCTGATTCAGATGACCAAGGCAGAATGACGTTCAATTACAGGCTTGATTTAAAACAGAGATTTACAAAGACAATTTCCTTAAATAAAAAGTAAATCAACACTACTATAATATGTCCTGATTAGAAGACATATCCAGTTCATTTTCAGGATCTTGAAACCTCTAGTCATCCATCCATAGCCATATTTTGTGGTCTCAGATGCCTTGAATGATCCCCAGAAAAATGCAAACGAGAGCTTATACACAAAACTTTGCATACAATCTTAGGCTGTCCAAGAAGCCCCAAAACGTGTGCCATAGATCATCTAGGTGTCTACAGGTCCCAGGTTAAGAACCCCTGGTTGCACTGACCATACTTAAAGGACCTCATATGCCCTACATAATATCCAGCATGCAAAGGAACAGCAATCTAATACTTTTCATATGTTGCACAGATGGTAAAATATGACAAAATGCAGAAAGCCAGAGTATTATCACCAACTCATACTCCCTAGGTGTCATATATGGCTCATGACGTTAAATTCAAAGTAGATTTGAACGCACCGTTCTACATAAAATATGGAAAGAGGGTGAAAACAAAGGGAATAAATGCTCTCAAACCTAATAACAGAATCAACCACAGAACAGTCAATAAAGATAAGTGGAAAGATGGGGCCTCAGATCAAAAAGTATAAACATCAACTTTTCCAAATGCCAAGAAGTAGTCTCAAGTTTAATGTCAAAAATGACTCCATCACTTGTTCCTGCCCAAAAGACAGAGCCTTTGATACTGAATGGAAATGAAGCACCTTGGGCAGTGCAGGAATATTCTTGTGTGTGCCAGAGGAGCAGCTTCCTTCAGAGGCTGCTTTCATTTGCTGCGCGCAAGACGCCAAGCGGTCTCCGCAGTGAAAATCACTGTGGGCCCATGAAACTTGATACGCCAACAGAATGTTAACTAGAGGATGCGCAGCTCAGGCCCTGCCCCGGGGCGCTGACAGGCATTTGGATAACTGTGGAGAGAGAGCTGCTGCTGTGTGGGCAGCATCCTAAAATGGGAATTACGCTGAGGTTACCAGTGTAATTCCATCTAAGAACGGCTAGGTCTTAACATCTTTTTTCCCTTTCTGACCTTGATAATAAACAGCTTTCTCTAAGAGGTTGAAAGTATTTGGCCGGAGGGGCAAAAACTAAAGGACGGGGAAGGGGAATTAAAAACCAAATTCACCAAAGATAGATAGCAGTAATTGTGTCTCCAGTTCCCGGGCTATAAGAAGAAACAGAATAACTTAAAAAAGAATTTCCTGACTAAAACTTTGAAAACATGCTACCTGAAGAAAGGTTAAAGGCAATAAGGCTGATTTATCTTGGAGAAGAGAAGGTGTAGGCAGGAAGGAGCACACTGGGTATTCAAGTATCTGAAGGGTGTTTATAAAGAAGACAAAGTGGATTTATACTGTGCTGCTCCAGGGGCCTGAATCTGGAATAATTAGGAAATAAATTCAATTTCGGGAAAATCGTTCTAATTATTAGAGTTGATCCAAATTACTGGACGAGGGTCCTAGGTACCCTTAGGAGAACTAGAGGGGACGTCAAATGGGCAGGGCCATACCTGGAGCAGAGCGAATTTTATCCATTTTATATAGATCAGTGTTCTGAGCAAGATCTCCCATGAAAATCTGAGTCCAGAAACAAATGGACAGGATGAACTCCTTGGTCCCCTCTAAAAACCACGTAACTGTGGAAAGGGAATGATTTGTCCTGTGAAATAGTGTACTT